CGTCCGGTAATGGGCGGTCTGTGTACCGGTCAGCTGACTGATCGGTATGTATCGCCCATACTAGACGGTATTATTCGAAATTGCATACCTTGGTTTCGTCATGTCTAACTTTGGTAATATTCACTTCTTTTCTGTTTCCTTGTTCTCATGATTGTTTGTATTTTTATATACTGCTTTTTCTGTCTGAAGCTCTTTGAATATATGTGTCTGAGAATATTGTTTGTTTCCAGATCCGTCCACTTGCACAGTTTCTGTCAATGTCCCAGCTACATTTGCAAGCTCAACTGAATTGATTTCTGCTTGTGCACTTTATCATGACAAAGGGCCAGAACCATGGCTCCGAAAGACAAGTACAGATGCATGGCTTTCTACTGGAATTGCTGAGGCGGTTGATGGACATGATGGATTATACAATGATCAAGGCGATATATATTGTTTGGTGTGTTATGAAAGTGGCACACTTGAAATCTTTGACGTATCAAATTTCAAATGTGTTTTCTCTGTAGACAATTTTGTTTCTGGAAAGACCCATCTCTTTGACAAATATGCTCGAGAACCAAGCAGAAACTCTCAGGGTATTAAATCGAAAGTTACTGATGAAGCAAATGGCTCTGTAAAGAAAGAGCTGCCACAAGACATGAAAATTGTTGAGTTAGCCATGCAGAGATGGTCTGGTCAATATAGTCGACCATTTCTTTTTGGAATACTAAGTGATGGAACGATGCTTTGTTATCATGCATACTTATACGAGGGTCTGGAAAATACACCAAAAGTTGAAGATGCAGTTTCCCCTCACAGATCTGCTGAGATGGGCAACGTGAGTGCTTCAAGACTTCACAATTTGAGATTTATCCGTGTTGCTGTTGACACGGCTACAAGTGAAGAGGCTTCAAATATTGTTTCAAGGCCAAGAATTACAGTATTCAAGAATGTTGGTGGCTACCAAGGTTTATTCCTTTCTGGGTCAAGACCAGCTTGGTTTATGGTTTGTAGGGAGCGACTTCGAGTTCATCCCCAGGTTTGCTGGTGTTCTGTTCACTTACAATAATTGAATTCATTGCATATAGATAAACATCTACCAATGCCTAAGAGTATAAAACTGTATTTCTGGAAAAGCACTTATACCAAAGATCATTTGTCGTCTGTATAACAGATTAACATGTCAACAAAATTACCTGATACATGGTTTTTGAGTGAAAAGTTGATCAACTAGGATACAACATGAAATCTATATTGTGTGAGGCATGTACCCAAAAAAGGAAAAACTTTAGGTTCACTATGAGTATTATATGGAGGTTTCCTCAAACCATATGGACTATTTAATTTCTATAATCTGCACTGGCTTTCTTGCATTTAACCTAAAGCTGATGGTCTATATTCTTTCATTTAGAATTTTGCATTTAAATTTTGTGTAGCTCTGCGATGGCTCCATTGTGGCTTTCACTGTTCTACACAATGTAAATTGTAATCATGGACTTATATATGTCACCTCACAGGTAATCACAAATCTATAGTTTTTACCTTTCTTAGTTTCTCTTTTAATTGGATTACGTGTAAGACTGTCTGACAAGTGAGTTTTCTTCTTAGGGCTATCTGAAAATCTGCCAGCTGCCAGCTGTGTGCAACTACGATAACTATTGGCCAGTTCAGAAGGTGAAGTCATAGGTGTTCCAACCATTGTTAATCATTCTTTCTAGCATTGCTTCTGAAGTGAAGCAACTAAGACATTTATCTTTTTGGTTAGGTCCCTTTGAGGGGCACCCCACATCAGGTCACTTACTATTCTGAAAAGAACCTGTATCCACTGATAGTATCTGTCCCAGTAAGTTATCCTACATTATGTTGATTTAGAGCTCAAATATCTGTCTTGCAAAGCTTTTAGCAATGCCTAGGATTTATGTCAATGCTATACTTATTTTGATTGTTACTGTTTGTCTTATTCTATGATTTGTTCTGAATGATGCAGATTCATTGAATTCTTTCTTGGAATGCAACTGACAAACACATTATGTTTCACATTTGGCTTTCTTTAGTTATTTGACATTAATAGACAATTTTGATTGGTTCCTTGAATAAAAATGGGTTCAATTTTACACATTTTTGTTGATCTAAATATGTAATCATCTGAGGATAAACTATCATATAAATCAAGGTTCTGAATACTGTACCATACCGGTGTACCAATCAAGTGTTGGTACGATATATATCGAGCTGTATTGATGCACGATACACTAAGGTGTACCGATGTACTGCCCATACCGATCCTCTATTGGATTGGTATGTACTGTCCATACCGAGCGGTATGGTATGGTATTACAAACCATGATATAAATAAACACATTAAAGCAAGTTTTTGTAATCAATATGCCACAAATTTTGGAAGAAACAGACGTCTGATGTAGGCAAGTTCGTTGTCATAACAAAAGCACTAATTGCCATTGCTTAAAATATGACAGATCAGCTTTAGAGGGTCAAAAGAAGCTGAATTTAAAACATTGACACCTTGAAAAATTTCACTTTATGTTATTCTCTCTCAGTGTATTCAATAATCGTTGATGTCATTATGTTGTCTAAATTTTCCTATACATTCCTTTCCGTATTTCCTTTGTATATTATTCATTCTGTCAAGTAATGACATTGCTTTTCACACATATGCTATTTTATTGATCTCTTGTTTATTTCTGCTTCTGTAGGTTGTTAAGCCTCTTAGTCAAGTCCTTTCGTCTTTGGTTGATCAAGATACTGTTCATCTTAGTGATAATGATAGTGTTAACTCGGATGATCTTCAAAAAATTTATACTGTTGATGAGTTTGAGATCCGCATTTTGGAGTCAGGAAAATCTGGTGGACACTGGGAAACAAGGGCTACCATTCCGATGCAAACCTCTGAAAATGCTCTCACTGTTAGGGTGGTTACACTATTTGTAAGTTTAGATATGAGGTCCTTGAGGGAATTTTTACTGTTTCCTTGAGGTCCTTGTTGTCGTATTCTAATACAACTTTGGTATGCTTCTTTCAGAATACGACAACAAGGGAAAATGAAACTCTTTTATCTGTTGGCACAGCTTATGTGCAAGGTGAGGATGTAGCTGCTAGAGGAAGAATGCTGCTATACTCGTTTGGCAAAAATACTGAGAATGCTCAAAATCTGGTACTAGCATGACAAGCAGCAAAATTGTTTCTGATCAGTCATTACCTTTAATTACAATTTTGAAACTTGAACTCGATGCTGGGGTCCACTTAGCATATAATTTGTCTGACAGGTTTCCGAGGTTTACTCCAAAGAGTTGAAGGGAGCTGTTTCTGCTTTAGCATCTCTCCAAGGTCATTTGCTGGTAGCATCTGGCCCAAAGATCACCTTGCACAAGTGGACTGGTACTGAATTGAATGGTATTGCATTCTATGATGCGCCTCTACATGTTGTGAGTTTGAACATTGTGAGTATATCTGTTCCCTCTCATATGTGTACCTAACTAAATACTCAGTAAATATTAAGGTTTATGATGGATTTCTCTTTTTCTATTCTAGATTTTGAGAATAGGGTTGCTTCTAGGCAAATAGAACCGTATAGTTTCTTTCTAGCATCAACTTAGTATGCAGTTTTCTTTAGCTTTTCCTTGTAATTTCACCCTGAAATGTTGAGTTCTGCTAGCAGCTGTCATTTCAGGATCAATGCAAGTTAAAGTGAATAAATTGGAAGATAGTACTTTATCTTCAGTTGTCTTACCTGTCTCATGGTATACTGCCTGGGAAAATACAAAAAGGTTAATTTGTTTATATACTTTGGTACAATCAATATATGGAGTACCTATTACAGGTTCACCAAAATATGGATGCATGATAGCGAGGATAGGATATAAATGAACAGTGGTTGGGAAGGGACAATGTATTTAGCCTAGCAGACAACTGGATAACAAAGCACCTCTAATTACTGTTTATTCATCACAGTCCGTGGACTATCATTTTAATCCATACTAGTTTGTAGTGCAAGGAGTTTAAAGTATCATTTAGTAGGTCAGTGCTCTCCACTCATCAGCTGAACTAGTCAATTTTTACAATTTCCTGCTCGATTTTGGTACCATGGTGATCTAAAATTTCAACTATATCGGTACGTTAGAATTATTTTTTTCTTTTAGACTGTGTTATTATTCAGGCCAAAAATGTATTTTAAGGTAATAAATAAATCTTTTCAATTGATCAATATGTCCAAGATCATGGATTATGGGCCTGGATATGAAAATTTTAACATAAATGGATGCACCAGTACTGGAAAGCTTGAAAAATAAGATAATACAGAAAGGACGCAATAATACATATTAATATTATCTGAGGTGATGAATTTTAATATTGTTTTTGTTACAATTTTTTCACTTGCAAGTTATGAGAATTTCAATATTAACATGTTGCAGGTCAAAAATTTTGTCTTGTTGGGAGACATCCACAAAAGCATCTATTTTCTCAATTGGAAAGAGCAGGGTGCTCAGTTGAGCTTGCTGGCAAAGGATTTTGGTTCTCTTGATTGTTATGCAACTGAATTTTTGATTGATGGAAGTACATTGAGTCTTGTAGTTTCTGATGATGACAAAAATATCCAGGTAAAGTATCTTGTATCTTCTGATTGTCATATGCACTTATCATAGTAGTTTCATAGTTCATACGACATGATAAAAGTGCCTTTTACAATTAAAGCCTAACTTGAAGATGTTTCTATCTGAGATGTTGTTATCTGTCAATGTGTGCTTTTAGAAGTTCAGACAACTAAAATATGGACATGGTAGTACTTCAGCATTAATTGTATAATGCATTAGTAAATTCTTTGTAGATATTCTATTATGCTCCAAAAACACTAGAGAGTTGGAAAGGGCAGAAGCTTTTGCCTAGAGCTGAATTTCATGCCGGGACCCATGTGACAAAGTTCTTGAGACTGCAGATGCTCTCTTCCTCTTTTGATAGAGCCAATACAGCTCCAGGATCGGACAAGACCAACCGGTTTGCCCTTCTATTCAGCACGCTAGATGGGAGCATTGGCTGCATCGCCCCACTCGATGAGCTAACCTTCCGGAGGCTTCAAACCCTGCAAAGGAAATTGGTTGATGCTGTTCCACATACATGTGGCTTGAACCCAAGATCATTTCGACAATTCCGTTCAAATGGAAAGGCACATCGTCCTGGTCCTGATAATATGGTGGACTGTGAGCTTCTTTCCCAGTAAGGATTCGTTTCTTCATGCCTTCGATCGCTTCTACTTTTCACTTTGATGACTTGTAGCAACTGTGATTGCTACCAAATTTAAGTCCAGGTGCTCCTACGAGGTATTTGGTAATATTTTGTTTTTCTGGGTATAGTTTTGGCATGATCCACTTTGAATATTTCAACATAATTTTTTATGTGTAAATGGCAACCTTTTCTTGATATGAGTGTAAAGAGTAGCATAAAATTACTTTGTTACACCTTACCTAAGATGGGATATATTGATCAGATTTTAACTCTTAATGATTGAAATCAATGAACAGTCCCTGGCCTTGTTGTCACCAGAACATGTAGAAGATGAATTTTTCCTATATTAATCACATGAAATAAGTTTAAGCGGAGCCATCTTAGAATTTGTTACTTGAGTAATAAACTCTAAAAGAGAGGTTGATAGGCATTAAACATCTTGTTGCTTATGCAATTTACATCCTTGGAACAGGAATCAACACAAAAATAAGCTGTTTTTGGTGATACAGGCATGCCATATGCTGATACTATATACCGACAAGTCGCAAGTTCTGAGCTTTACATTTTCTTTATCGTGTTTTAGTTGGGTTACATTTTCTGAGCTTTAGATTTTCTTTATTGTGTTTTCTTTATCATGTTAAATGCCATACAAGATATGCCATTATGACCATCTCTTGTTTGCTTTCCAGGTATGAAATGCTGCCACTAGACAAACAGCTAGAAATTGCTTTTCAAATTGGTACAACCCGCTCACAAATTCTTTCCAATTTAAATGATCTTTCGCTCGGAACAAGCTTCTTGTAACAGTAGGAGTGCAAACTTTCAACTCGTCAGGAGCATCTCTTGCATCTTTATCATCGGTGTAACACTCCTGTCTTCCAGTGTGATGCTTCATTAATATTTACAGCTGTACAAAAGAAAATATGTATCCTCGACCAACTGTGATTGTGCACTCTGATGCAGCAAGGCATTAAAAGTGGCTTGACACATTTATTTGCCAAATGATGCTTCATCAAGCGGTCATTCCATCATAGCAGTGGAAATTGTGACTTCGTTACTTCACACAAATTGTGATTTCCTTCTTCCATCTTTCTAATGTAATTTGATGCCCGTATGTTGAATGATGCTGGTGCATGCCTCAACCTGTAGTTGTCGTAGTAGCTAAGCTTTATGTACTCTTTATGCGTTTACTCAGCTTAGCATTGTAACAACCATAGAAATATTCAATTTATTTACCATTAACACACGTGCGCTGTCACAACTGATATTTCTTGCATACATTGGAACCATGTACTTTTGCGCATGGCACTGTGCCGATTTAAGATGATTTTGTGTACTGAATTATAAGGGCACGATATAAGCATGTGAATTGAATGTTATGGCTATCAATAGCTGTTGATTCTAACATCTTCGGGTGCTATTATGTTGTATGAAACTGTATGGGATAATTGTATATTATCTCTTGTAGTTATTTATCTTTGATGTTTTGGTTTGTATTGTTATTCTTATAGTTGCAAAATGAAACATCTAGATTTATTTATTCTAATATTAGTTTTATTGATGAAAATATAAAAATAAAAGGTAAATATATACTTTTAATGTTTTGTCGTAGATATAGTTAGTGGTGGTGGAGGATGGTATTGTTGGTATCGATATTGATGTAGTTGTTTGGTCACTTTCAACGACAATAAGATTTGCTCTCATTGCGATGCTATTCGCCTTCACGAGGAGTAACACTTGATCTCATCGTTGCTCGTCTCGTGTTGATGTAGATGGTAGTAGTCACTCCTCTTCCCCTTGCTCCTTTGTCATTTTATTCTCTTAGGAGCAACACTCCATAATTTTCAAATTCCATTCCCACCTCATCATAACTGAGGATGTCTTTGCCCATCCTCTCCCTCGATTCGCCCCCACTCGAAAGTCTCCATCATACGTAATAAGTGTTCTGCCACCTCCCTTGACCCATTCGTGGCCGCGCTTGCCCTCCGCTCCAATGGCCTCCTGCACAACAATGACGAAGTGGATGAGCTCTAGTTAGTGCCCAAGGTCGCACCACACAGGGCAGCGTCCATCATGCAGGACTCCATTGGAGCAATTGGGTCGACGATGGATGCTACCCTCTATGGTGCTATGTCCATTGTGCAGATGGCCATTAGAGTAATTAAGTCGACGATGAACTCCGCCCTCTATGGCATGGTGTCGAGCGTTAACCAAAGCTTATCCATGATGTTGCCGTCATGTGGGAGGCCATTGGAGCAGAAGGTGAGCACAGTGCAAATGGGTTGAGAGAGGCGATGGAGCACTTCTTGCGCATAGTGGAGTTCTTAATAGGAGGAGGTGGTGGGCAGAGGCATCCTCAGCTACAATGGGGTGGTAGAGGGATTTGAGGATTCTGAGATGCTACTCCCAAGAGAATGGGATGGCGAAGGATCGAGGGGATCGAGAGTGGCCATCACAAACTACGTCATTACAGGGCGGATGACAATGAGATTGATAGCTCGCTTCTCGTGGAGGCAAGTGGCGTCACGGTAAGAGCAGATCTTATCATCGTCGGACGTAGTAAGGCAACTACATCGATGTTACTGTCCGGTATCAAACATTAAAATTATCTTTCTGTCTGGTGTTTTCGTAGATAAAACTGATATTATTAATATAAATGAATCTAGATGTTTCACTTTTATAACTATAGAGATGTCAATGTAACTTAAGGATCGAAACGTTAAAAATAATTAACTATAAAAGATAATCTATAATTAGCCCGAAACTCTAAATTCCAAGTTTAGTCCCAAATCCAATTTGCCATTCCAGTTTCAAAGAACGAGGTTTGTGTTAAAGTTGTTAGCTCTCTTGTTTTCCTCCCTTTTTATTAAATATTTAACGGTGATATTTGAATAAGATTATACAGAAGGTAAGATTGATTCTACTGAACAGAATATGTTCTTTTTTCCAAGAACCAGCTATGGCTCAACACTCCATCCAGGATTTAAGGGCTCCGACTTTTCAGGGAAAACAGTGATTAATTCATCCCTCACAGTAATAACGAGTGATACTGATGTCGGCATGTCGTACAATTAGGTTGTTCTTTCATGGTTCGCAAAACCAACCATTGATCCTTCCTTTTGTTTAGCACCTAAGATATAGAGCTAAGAGCAAACAACAATTAGTGTGATGTACCCAAGACAAATCTGATGGTTTGTTGCATCCTACAAAGTCCTTTAAATGTTCTACCTACATTAAATGGTAAAGATTATTTAAGTAAGATGAGAAAAAACCCATCTTTACTGCTTGTCATTGACTAAATAATGATACATCTTTCACAGCAACTCAGATAAGCTCCAATATTTACAAGCAATCTTAGGGTTTCTTCGGGCCTGTGTTCCGCAGCTTTCCACTCCATCTGCAAGCAGTGAGACACAAGGGAGAACCATGCTAACAAGAGATGGAATGGGTTGGAATCCCCAACAAAACCCTTACACTGATCTTGGGCAACGTATTAGGGCTGCAGAACTTGCAGCTTCCCCGAGCCCACGAGTTCTTCCTGTGCTGTCCACATTTCCATATTTCCGGGAATCATTCAATCAAGGATTGCACACCCAAATGACCCCCAGAGAGTTTGACACAGGAATCTCCTGGCTTCATAGATGTGTGGCTAGAAAAAGTTACTATGCTTGTTATATAGATTTTTCTCTCTCTTCACGAACCTTGAACCATCCTGTCGTGTTCTTCCAGTTCTTTCACGAAACTTTGGGACATCCATGTAGTTTAAAACCATTGTTGTTCATTAAGTTAGCTACTTGAAACACTGTGTGTATATAGATATCAGCTCGGGCCTCCTCCCGTGCACCAGTCTCCAACAAACTAATTCTTTGATGTGTGAGCATATGACTGCAAGCGACTCAATCAGGAAATCGTCAGACAAACTTCAAGTGATTTTACAAGTTATTTGTAGTTTCAATCTGAACCACACACACAACTAAGCAAGTCATGCATGTGCGCCATGATTAGAAGCCTTCTCAGAAGGTGAAACTGCAAATAGCTCTGTAAATAACTTGCAGTCTCTTCGGTGATTTCCTGATTGACATTGCTAGAAGTCATATGCTTATCTCAAAGCACTAATTTGAGGGATCCTGACTGCAGAGACAGGATTAAACATGCAAGTCTCCTATTGTTTAATTTTGAAAAAGATAAGAAGCACCTTTTGGACTTGGACATCACTGCTTCTCGGGGCCTGAGCCATCTCTAACATCATTGGAATTGTCATCTGGCACGCTGCAAGATGAAGAACATCTGCTTGAACTGCTACAGGTAGAAGCACCACTTCCCTTGTGTTGCGGCAGCTGTTTCCCTTTTCTCATTTCAGAGGACAGGTCCTGCAAAACAAATCACTAGTTAGATCTTTTTCCTTCCAATCGCCAGTATATCATTTCCTACAAATTCTAAATGACAGATTTTTAATGAAGCAGTGTTTGGAACTAATCCAAGTTGCAACGAATAACAACTAATCATTTCCTTATCAATGACGTGTACACTAAAACAAAACATAACTTATTTAGCTTGAATGAAATAATTTACTGCATATTAACATCAACCTCGTCATGTGCCGATGTTGACTGAGAATGAACTGCAGATCCAGGAGTCTTGAGTTCCAACTCTGTTGCAACATCACTAAAATCATCACTTCTTTGTCCAGAGTTCCGCTGATGCTGATCAGATGGCTTGCTTTTAGAATCTTGATGGCTTGAGGTTTGTGATCTGCTATCTTTTATATGCATATTTTGATTAATATGCTGGTTTGACGATTGTTCAACTTGAGGATTGCTGGGGGAATTTGGCATATAGGTAGAACATGGATTTGAAATGGTTCCAGGAATCGGGCCATGAAAGAAGGGATAAGAGTGTACTGGGTGGATAGGTATTGCAGCTGAGGGAATTGGAACAGGCATTGGGAATGGATATGGAGGACGACCTATAACAAGTGAAGGGTCCATTGTGGCCCAAGGATAAAAAACTCTAAGCCTTTGCTGATATTGGACATTCAGATCATCAATTTCAGACTTCAACTTTGCTTTCTCATCTCTAAGCTCATTCTTCTCTTGCGTCAACTATAAAAAACAACAAAAATGTTAAAGAATCAACGATTGCCTATCAGAACCATTTATATTCATTCCATATAATATGACTTACCTCACGAGATTCTTCTGAAAGTGAATTATATTCCGATTTCAATCGGTTGACTTGAGCAGTCAAGTCCTTTAGCATCTGTATTGTATCACCTAGAATAGTTGCTTTGTCATTCTTGGGTCGATCTGGATCTGGAAATTGTAACATATCTATTAGGTAAAATGTACAAACAAGTTTCTTGCAACATTATAGTAGATGCTACTACACATGTAGGAGCAAGTGAGTATCTTGTTTGGATATCTCATAAAAGAGTACATCAGTTGTCGTCAGACAAATCTTCACAAGCATGATTTGGTTTAGGATGTTGAGGGGCATATCAAATAATATTTTCAAGAGTTTATTTTAATAAAAGAATATCTTGCTTGGATATCTGAGAAAAGAGTACAACAGTTGTCGTCAGACAATTCTTGAAAAGCATGAATTGGTTTAGGATGTTGACGAGGGACTTATCAAAATAATATTTTCAAGCAATAGTTATAATAAAAGAATAATTATATTAGCATGCTTCGAGCGACATCTAGGACCAAAGAATACAAAGTAACTTTTCAATGTGACAAAAAGTAGCCGCCATTAGTGTTGTCATATCACACTAATAAGAAAAGAAAGGGAGAAAAAAAATATCCACACAGTTCACAGGCATTAAATGATCCAATATTTCATAATTAAACATCAACTTTTAGAGTCCCAAAATGAGAAGGATAAAAAATATGGTAATTATTGAGTTGGTTAGAGTCACAAAAGTTTACGTTGCTAAGATGGATGTGTGGAACTAGTAGGAAAGATGAGAGAGAATTGTTTAAGATGGTATGGACATGTGCTTAGGAGACCTACAGATGTGATAGCTAGAAGAGACGAAATAATTAGTGGAACAAGAAGAAGTACATAAAGACCTAAAAAGGACTTTAATAGAAACTATAAATAAAGATTTTAAGTACTCTAAAGTTAACTAAACATATGACATTTTACAAATCTCAATAACAGCAAAAGATCCATATAGTTGATCTCAAATAGTTGGAACTTACACCTTTATGATTGTTGTTGTATTGAGTTGGTTGGATTAATG